CATTAATTGGTTTATAAAAATGCCAGACCCCATCACTAATGCTATAGCAACAATTAATACAACAGAAGTCATAGATAACACCTATTGTTTGATTTTATGCCAGATATAATTTATGATAGCTATCTTTGCTGATAGAAATTGCTGAGCCTCCCATTAGTTTATTGTGTCACTTAACATTATAAGTGTTATAATAGGAATTAAGTACTTAATTTAGTGCTTTATATTGTATATACATTGGTAATAATTATTTGGCTCCCCCCAAATCTATGAGGCAAAGGAAACCTACAGGATTACTAAAAGCTCATAGAATAGAAACTCTGCAGATTCAGATGGATATATGGGTAGACACACAAACAATATAAAAAATCAAGGGAACAAACCATCCCAGACAAGCCAGAATGACTCGATAGTGGACTCTACCAACATTACAGTGGAGGAAATGTAAGAGAAGGAATGTAGAAAGTTTATAATTAAGCTGATCTATGAGATAAAAGATGATGTAAGGAGTGAAATCACAGAGAAAATACAAGAAGTGCAAGATCAATTCAATAAATAGAAATAGAAATTTTGAAGAAGAATCAGTCAGAAATTCTTGAAATGAAAGAATCAATAAATCAAATTAAAAATTCAATGGAAAGTATCACCAATAGACTAGACCATTTGAAAAATAGATTTTCAGTCAATGAAGACAAAGTACATATCTTTTTTTAAAAACCTTTATCTTATTTGTTTTTTTGTGGTGCTGAGGATCCAACCCAAGGCCTCGCATGTGCTAGGCGAGTGCTCTACTGCTGAGCCATAACCCCAGCCCAAAGTACCTAATCTTGAAAATAAAGTTGATCATGGAGAAAAGATGTTAGGAGACCATGAAAAATATCTCCAAGAAATATGAGATAACTTTGAAAAGCCAAACCTAAGATTCATAGGGGTAGATGAAGGCCCTGCCTAACGTACAAATTAAAGAGATGCACATTTATTTCAATGAAATTATAACAGAAAATTTCCCAAATCTTAAGAATAAAATGGAAAATCAAATACAGGAATCATACAGGACTCCAAATATACAAAATTACAAAAGGTCCCTCCTAGGCACATTATTATAAAAATGCCTAACATACAGAATAAGGATAGAATTTCAAAAGCATACAGAGAAAAGCAACTGGTTACATTTAGAGGTAAACCTATCTGGATCTCAGCTGAATTTTCTTTTTCTTTTTTTTTTTTTTTATATATACATCTTGATTTATTTTTTTAAAGTTACAGGTAGTGTACAAATATACATTAAAACAATGCAGTATTATATTGAAATGGGAGTTTGTGTTACTATAGGTGTATTATTGAAGGTGATGGGTGGCGAATGGGGACTGGGATGAGGTAGATGCAATTTCAGAACATGCAACTTGTCAGCTGAATTTTCAACACAGACCCTAAAACCTAGGAAGTCTTGGAATACTATATTCCAAACTCTGAAAAAAAAAAAGGATGCCAACCAAGAATACTATATCCAGCAAAATTAAGCTTCAGATTTGAAGATGAGGTTAAAACCTTTAATAATAAACAAAATTTTAAAAAAATTCACAAAGAGAAAGCTGGCACTACAAAACATACTCAACAAAATATTTCATAAGGAAGAAATGGAGAACAGAAATGAGGGTAAAAGAATAGCATAGAAGACTCTAATCCAACTTATTAACTAGAAATAAATAAAAATGACAGGAAATAAAAATCATGTCTCAACAATAACCTGGAATGTTAATGAACTCAATTCATCAATGAAAAGACATAGGATGGCATACTGGATTTAAAAAAAAAAAAAAAAAGCTCCAACAATATGCTGCCTCTAGGAGACTCACCCCATAGGTAAAGACATAAACAGACTAAAGATGAAAGGATGGGAAAAAACCTATAATTCACATGGATCTCATAAATAAGCAGGGTTTATATTCTAATATCTGATAAAGTGAGCTTTAGGCCAAAGTTAATCAGAAGAGACAAAGAAGGCCATTTTATACTGCTTAAGGCAGTCATAAAACAACAAGAAATAAGAGTTGTAAATATCTATGCTTCAAACAATGGAGAATCTATATACATCAAACAAGCCCTTCTCAATATTAAGAATCAGTCAGACCACAACACAATACTACTGGGTGACTTTAACATGCCTCTTTCATGAATAGATAGATCATCCAAAGAAAAACTAAATTAAAAAGCTAAGAACTAAAAAACACAATAATTTAGACTTAACAGACATATATAGACTATTTCATCCATCAGTAACTGAATACACTTTCTTCTTAGCCACACATGGAACATTTTCTAAAATAGAGCATATTTTAGGATACAAAGCAACTCTTAGCGAATACAAAAAAAAAATATAGATAATACCCTGCATTACATTTGATATTAATGGAATAAAATTAGAAATCAATGATAAGATGAAAATAGAAATTGCTTTAATACCTGGAGACTAAGTCATTATTGAATGATGAATGGATAGCAGAAGAAATCAGGGATAAAATTGAAAAAAATACTTAGATATAAATGAAAATAATGAGAATAATGATACAGCATATCAAAATCCCTGGGATACTATAAAGGCTATTCTAAAAGGTAAGTTCATAGTACTGGGCTCATACATTAACAAAATAGAAAGATGCCAAATAAATAAGCTAACATTACATCTTAAGTCCCAAGAAAATCAAATTAACACCAAAATCAGCTGAGGACAGGACTCTTCCAAACTCATTCTATGAAGCCAATATCACCTGATACCAAAACCAGACAGACACATCAAGGAAAGAAAACATCAAACCAATAGATGCGAAGATTCTCAATAAAATACTGGCAAACCACATATAAAAACATATTAAAAAGATAGTGCACCATGACCAAGTGGGTTTCATTCCAGGGAGGCAAGCTTGGTTCAAAATATGGAAATAAGTATATATATCACATCACATAAATAGACTTTAAAGTCAAGAATCACATGATTATCTTAACAGATGCAGGAAAAGTATTTGACAAAATACAACATCCATGCATCATTAAAACACTAGAAGAAATAGGGATAAAAGGATCATACCTCAACATTAAAAGCTATATATGGCAAAACAAAGACTAACATCATTGTAAATGAAGAATTAAAAACATCCCCTCTAAAACTGGAACAAGACAGGGATGCCAACCTTCACCACTTCCATTCAACATAGTCTTGAATGATGATGAATGGATAAGAAAATGTGACATATATATACAACAGAGTATTAATCAGCCATAAATTAAAGAATTACTTATTAATATGTGTCTGCAATGGATGGACTATCATGCTAAGTGAAGAAAGCCATTCCCCCAAAATCAAAGGTTGAATGTTTTCTCTAATATGTGGACGCTAACCCATAATAAGGGGAAGCAGGTGAGGGAAGAATAGAAATACAATTGATTAGACAATGGGGAATGTAGGGAAGGGAGGGGGTACAAGAAAAGGAAAGACAGTGGAATGAATCTGACATATTTTCTCATGTACATGTATGAAAATGACACATACACATCTGAAAGAATGGGATTCCATGCTTGTAAATTATATCAAAATGGATTCTGCTGTCATGTTTTTAAAAAAAAACCACACTTTTTAAAAAAGTGAGCTAGGAGCATTCACTCTCAATAATAAGGATATTAAACCACTGAATTCAAGTTAACACAGTGAAGCAGTAATTAGATGTGAGTCATGTCATACATAAGATAAATTTCACACGATTCCTTTCTAGTTTTAGCTTTCTCAGTGAAACATTAGCTTGTCTTGATAGAGAATCTTGCAGAATGACATACAATAGTACAGACACATGATACAACTCAAACGTACACAAAGAAAAGTAAAAACAGTATGTGACCCAGAGACATATACATCCAATTGTTTCACATTTTATTAGTAGTTGTGAAGAAATTCCTTAGGAAAAATAAAGATCAGGATGGTTTAGTGATATTAAACCAGATGTATTTTTTTTATCACCGATTCCAGGAAAAAATTAGTTAAAAAAATTGTTTTCTTGAGAAATCTAAGTGGCAGAGGTATTAAAACTATTAAAAAACAATTTGTCTGCCTGGTGTGGAGGTGCATGCCTGTAATTCCAGCAGGGCTAGGGAGGCTGAGGCAGGAGAATCTTCACTTCAAAACCAGCCTCAGCAAAAGCAAGGCACTAAGCAATTCAGTGAGACCCTGTCTCTATTTAAATATAAAATAGGGCTGGGAATATGGCTCAGTGGTTGAGTGCCTCTGAGTTCAACCCCTGGTAATACCCACTACCCCCTCAAATTTCTTTTGAAAAATTTCCTAATTCAAGTGGTCAAAATAAAGCAGATCTTTCAAAAATAAAAAAAAAAAATTTTCTAAGATGCAAATGAAGCCCTTTGTTTCCTAATCACCATTCCTAAAAAGAGAATTGAAACGTTTCCTACTAAAGCACTGGTTAATTTTAAATATTACCTGTATTATTTTGGGTAAAAAAGGTCTGTAGCTATGATGTGTGGTTTGACATAATAAATATAAGGACTAAAACTAAAAAGGGAAGATTTAACTGGGAGAAAAATAAGTCAATTAATAAAATCTGTTGATTTTTTGAAATTATGAACTATATTTGTCATTGGCTTGCAAAATAAAATGTGCTTCCAAAACCTTCTGAAACAACTTTTTGAAATTTATTTCTAAAAGTCACAAAGACAAAACCTCATTAAAAAGCAATACATTTATACTAAGGATACATGCATAAGCAAAACAACAACAAAAAATAAGCACAGGAATACAAAAATTAACATAGTAAAATTTTAATTAATACAGTATTCCGGATACAAGTAAAATACCACTAGATAAGAACTGTATTTACCTCAGAAATCTATGATAGTAAGGGTTGATATAAACCAAGGTTTAAAAGAGCCACTTGACTATTCACATTTTAATCAGTGCTGACCAGAAGCTAAAGCAATTTTAGGTAATATTTTAAATGAAATTACAGAACTAACCTTCCATGTAAATCAATCAAATTAACATGTTTAAAGGTTATCTGCCCTCATTAAATGGCAGTTGAAGTGAGTCAAAACAGAGAGMCCTTACAAAGACTAAGCATCAATGGTAAACTGTGGCTTTTGTTTTGGGCCACCTTAAATTTTATTTTGCTTGTAGGTATTTTCCATTAAGATACACACACAAATTCTTTTAGGCAAAAGTTTTAACAGGAACTTTCAGAGTGGCCATCTTACCAACTGTACTTAAAATAGCTTTTAAGCAATTAATACTTCAGAATAATCCCAAACTGATACTTAGGTGATTACAACAGGTAAGATGAAGAACTTTTTTAAGGTTTGCTGGTCCCTGAAAATTCGGTAGGTCAAATGCATTAACTGGAAGTAGCATTTGGGGGAGAAAAAAAAAAGCCTTAATCAAAGATGATAATGGATAAAGTAACTATATATATAGGCTCTCATACAAAATCTTTCTGAATTTTCACCCTGTAAAAATGATTACAATGTCCTTCAGGCTTGTTATATGCCCCATATAATCAAAAAGAAACCAATTAAATGTTCAACATTTCAACAAGCTAGGAACTATTTACTGTAAGCATATAGTGAGATTCTGGAAGACATACTACCATACTTTGGGAAAATACTATTGACATGTAAGCATGTGTTGAAGGCAGTTTATAAATGAAACATTACAAATCTTATGTTTATGCATACAACTTATAAAATAGAAAAAAGTTGCTATTTTTCCAATAGGATAGCATCACACTAACACTATATAGTTAAGATTGAAAGCTTCTGYACACATGTTCRCTCTACCTCCAGAGCCTCTTGGACATTCTCATTTGTTACCTAACATATGCCAATCATGGTTTCATGGATCTTTATCAGTTTGAGCAGGCTAAAACAATCATTCTTATTTAACCACAAGACAAAGTTAACCAGTTTCAGGGAATGAACGGTTCATAATCAGTAAAGAAACACTAATATTACCCCTTCCCCCCACTTTAGGATGGAAAAGTCTTCTAAGGACATGATATAATCTTAACAGAATGGACTATGTCCCTAGATACAGTGAATGTGGGAACAGTGAAAGAACACAATAAAATACACAGGACCTAAATTATCATCAAATAAGAAATAACTGCTAGAAACTCAAATGTGAATTACTGATTTTTCTAGTGTAACATCAATCAGTTTGCTGGGGTCTAATTTGGTCTTCCACTACATAGTTAATAGTAGTGCAAATAATACCCAAACAACAGGGAGTAGTCTAAATCACAAGGAGTTTCAAAAAAATTGGAATGATTATATATATAAATTTACTTTTGTATTCTGAAAATGTTCTAGATAACTCAATTATTTTCCTAGCTTCTTAGATCTTCTACCATATTAAAAAATTCAAATTAAACATGGTTGCCTGCAAATTCTTTTCAAGAAGTAAAAGCAAAACACATTTTGGTTGTTTTGCTGCTGGTCTCCTTGTGTATGTGCTTTACCAATAAGAGCACTACTCTAAGCATTTATTGTGCTACTTTAACATAACCAAACATGAGAAAAATTAAAAGTTCAAATTTTGACAAAGTGATTTTGGTAGCAGGCTTTTAAAAATGAAAAGAAAATTTAATATTAGCCACTCTGACCATTTGAATTAGGAACTTAAATTTTTAAGACACTTAAGATGTTTAGTATTTTCTTACTCACTTTGGTTTTTTCTGTTTTTAAATGAAGATATATGGTAAAAATGACCTCAAAGATAACTCCCTCTAAAAGTAACATAGGGCATCATTTGTCACTGCTTTGTAATAGAAACAAATTTTTATCAATATTTTTAACTTGAATGTTTTCAAACAACTAACAATTTTTAATAAAGCTCTGGTTCAAGTTTTCAGCTGTTAAATTTTTAAAAACTATAATTTGGATCTCTGATGGAGAGAACCTAGCTGGGCTACACTACTCTGACAACCGTATAGGACAGTGAGGTTCAGGAAGAGATCATTTTCTGAACATGGTTGACCTTTAACAGAACTGATTATTTCCTCACCCAAACAGCTATGCAGGATACTGCTAGATCTCCACTACAAAGTCTCACCAGATTTTCTAGACAATTGTTTACCATTCATGTTTAAAGACCTTATACCACCAGAGGCAAAGCAGATAAAAACRAAAGTAAGTAAACTTGTTTCTAGTCTAGTCTATTTACCTAAATAAACTCTTATAAAATTTTATGGAAAAATTAAAAGTGTAGAAAGCAATTTCTTTATTATTTATCTGTCAGCCAAAAAGTTACTACTAATTCTCCATAAAAAGAGGAAACTCAACCACGAAATATCTACCAGTTTAAATTAAAACATCAGTCCTGAAGTGACACCAAGACAAATTTAAGATGATGCTTAAAATGAAAGCTATGGTTCAAAAGTTTGTGTTTATAATAAGAGACTAAAATCTTGTCACTGCAAAATCTCCAATATTTTTTTGGCACTGACATTAAAAGAAAGATTTTAGTCTTTTGGTCACTAGAAGCTGCTAACTAAATACAAGCCTGAAAAAAGGGGGAGAAAAGAATGAGGAACTGAAGGGTACTTAGGTAAGTATTTCATATACAAATAAAACTGTTCAAAATAAACAGTCGTTTCTACTAGGGATCTGAAGATATAAGAACAGTTTCCCACCATCTCTTCCATTTTGAAGAGGATCCTCTAATCAGAAATAATTTCTTTAAGTTACTGTAAGTGGTGTTGCCTGGCAGCAGCTTCAATTTCCTAGGCTAGTCATCAATCCAAATAATTATGTAATCTCACAAGGAATAATCATACATGGCAACAGGGTTAAAAAAGCAGGGCTGTTCTTTCATGCACAAATATTTCAGGAGAAAAACCATCAATTTTAAAGATAACCATCAGACTTCAGGTATCCTAGCACACTCTTATACCTAAGTTTTGCTTTATACCATTGGTGACTAAAATTAATTAATAGTAAGTTTTGCAGTGAGGTTTTTTTTCTTTCTTTCTTTTTTGCCTGCAACTATATACACATTGCAAAACTATTCTGCATCACATGATTTTAAATGAAATAAATATAAAAATGAACCACACAATCAACACATAACTTTAATACTCCACATTATTATCTTGATCACAACGGTGGTAACCTCCTTGTCAACAATCTTGTGAGTTGAGGAGCTGATTCTCATTCTCATATCCATCAGGCAGATATGCTCTCCTCAGCTGGTCTGACTTAGGTATGGAGCCTCCATTCTTCACATGGCGAGACAGGAAAGCACGGACTGCTGGGTGATCAGCCTTCTCAAGGGGGATGTTGGCTTCCAGGCACATTTTCACAAAGTCCTGGATAACACTGACTTTCTCTGTTTGCGCAGTACTGTTGCACTGAAGAGATGCAGTTAGGGGCCTCTGCTTCTTTCTCACATTCTGCTCTTCAAATTCTGCCTTCCTCTTGGTATGGGTCTTTGACTTGAGGTGGTCACTGATTGCAGACTTGCGAACATGATTCAGAACCACATTGCAAGAAGTGCAGAAGAGTTTTCCTCCATCTTCGTGAAGCTCACCTCCAAACTCAGTGACACGATCCAGGGGTGTCACATACAAAGCAGTCTTAGAACGGTTTCGGGCAGGTGGTGCTGTTACTACAAATCGTTCCATTTTAATCCTGAATTAGGTTCTTTCAAGACAAAAAACAAGTACATGACAAAGTTTATTTTAGAAGTAACTGACAATAAAAGGCAAAGTATAAACATTTCAGTATAAACATTTTAAGATTAAAGACTTCATAAAACTTAATTCAAATTAAAAGACTCCATTAAATCTTAACTAAACATTCAATGTTACAGAAAGGCAAAACTAGAGAAAGTTACACTAACAACTAGGTTAATTCTTTGTTTATTAATGATATTTGAATAAATTAGAACTATGGAAGAACTCAAACTATCCCATATGTCTCTATCTTTCAGGAAAACCTAATCAAAGTAAACTTTGCGAGTACTAATTATGTTAATCTTATCCAATTTAGATATGTGTTCGAGTTTAAAAGAGCTTCTTGGGCTGGGGTTGTGGCTCAGTGGTAGAGCGCTTGCCTAGCATGTGTGAGGCACTGGGTTTGATCCCCAGAATCACATGAAAGAAAAAAAAAAAAAACCCAAATAAAGGCATAATGTCCATCTACAACTAAAAAAATATTTAAAAAAGTAAAAAAAAAAAAAAGAGCTTCTTTCCGGGACAAGTATAAAAAGTTGAACTTTGGGGCAAATTATTTTAGGAACTCAACCGTGTACAAAGTTTCTTCTAACATGTGGGCCATTAAATTGGTATAACTCTATATGAAGAGGGATGTACTCTCAAAAATTATTCAGAGAAGACCAAGTAAAAAATAAGAACGAATATAAACCAAATGTAGTTAACAGCAACAATGACACTAAATTTTAAAGTCAGTATATAGAGCTTGAAGTAAGTTATTTGCTAATGCGTGTATACAACTCCTAAGTTTTCTGAAAGATGATAATCCAAGATATGCAAAGTGCTCTATTTTCCATGCTTGGTTTCCTTTTGCCATTATGCCATGAACAACTGTATTAGATAATATTTATTTCACTATTAACTAATAATTTAGATAAAATCAAAGACTTAATATAGTGTCCAACAGGATAGATGATCATTCAAAAGTGGATGATGGAAAAAGTAAATGAAAGACTAGGGATGTAGCTCCATGGTAGAGCACCTGCCTAGCAGGAGTGAAGACCTGTGTTTAATTCTAAACACCAAAAAAGGAGGGGGGAAAACAAAGCAAATGAGCATCTTAACTATTTGTCCAAATAGTTACTCAATTTAGAAGCAACTTAATAATTTATCAACTTATCCTAATTATAAACTTTTATGACTATTGGACTAAATGTTAAAAACATAAATTACAGGCATTGGTGACCTGAGATAACCAATATACTTTAGTTGGTGAAAAATGATTAGCTAAGTCTTATTTTTTCCCTGTTTATAAAATATTAAAATAAATTTGAGAAAACTGAATCAGAACTCTGTTCTGTATAACAATGTTAAGAAAAAGATTCCCAAGTATATTCTGAAGAATTATGTTTTCTAAGAATAATCACAAACAATGTACTAGTACATTGTATTACTCCACAGTACAGAATTAATAGCTGAGTAACATGAATTTTCACTCCAAAGAACTTTAAACTGTCAGTGTGTTGGACATCTCTGGACACAATCCAGAGGACTTAACATTTTGCAGAAATTCTGAAAATTATGATAAAATCTAGGTTTTAATAGGCTTAAATTGTATTTTTTGCATTGAAAAGTTTTAGTGTACAGTGTTAGGTTATAGGTTTGTAATGGCAAAGAAGACAGATAAGATTCCTGCTCAGTATTTACTAAGTTATCATTACATGTTTATACCTTAAGTTAATGGTATGTATTTTACACTCCTATAACAAACTAATCCTGATTATGATCAATGTCTTTAAGGTAGTCATGAAAAACGTTAAATATCTGTACTCAGTTATGTTTTAAATTCTATTTTCTATGTGAAAAGTATTCTACCTTTAAATATTTGATTTCAAATTTTGAAACAATACCCAAACATGCAATTGTTTGCAGTATAAAGTGTTCAATCACTTGTGCTAAGGTGAAAGGCCTACACTTTCCAATGTCCTGGAACTTTTAAAAAGTCTGTTTCTGTTACTGCAGAGACAGCTATTCACCCAGCAGAGGATGCTCCAGTTGACAGACCCAAATAACAAATGTATTTAATAGAAGATAAGGATATTTTAAACAAACGATGAAGTTTAAAAAGTTGACAGTAGAAATTAGCGAACAAAAGAAAAACAGCAACTAATTTACTAGATCAAAATGAAGCTCATTAGAAGTTTTCAAGTTTAAATGTTTACCGGATTAGTTTCCAGTTTTTTTTCTTGATACTTAGTAGTGAAGGGTCTCCAGCGCAAAACCTGAGACACATCAAATCCTGGCACTTTCCGTTTATTCACACCCGGAGACGCCTTCAAATCAGTTTTTCAACAAGTGGTGGTGGGGAAATAGTTTCTGGGCTTGCACCCTATTTTCCCTGAGGTGCCGGGAAGTCATGCCTTTACTGTAAAACACGGAAAACAAATGGAAAAGAAAAATGGGGGAGGGGAAAGAAAGAAAGGTGGATAAAAATATGAAAAAGAAAATCAACGGCTACAACGCAGGCGTCTCTAAAACCTCTGTTTAGTTAATTCCACTCCACCAACTCGATCCTCACGTTTACCCCGACACTTCTCAGCCCCGTATCTTCTAGGTTTTCCGTCCCGCTCTACATCTCCTCGCGCTCCCCAGGCCCCTGGGTTCCGGCGGGGGTGGGGAGAGGCGGGGCGCGGGACGTTCCTGGCGTCTAGACTCAGTTCTCCCGCGCCGAGCTCAGCACACTGGCGCCCCACCGCGCCCACCCGCTAGCTGGGTAGGGCCATGTCTCAGCTGCCGGCTGTGGGCCCAGGAACTCGACAGCCGAGTTGGCGGCCGTCTCAGGGGAGGAGGCGGTAGTCGCCTGGCGGAGGCGGCCGCTGTCAGGCTTCCCGTCTCCTCCCTCTTCCTCCCGCCGACAACGGCACCCGGCCCCGCCCCCGGCTCCCGCTTCGGGACCCAAGGCCCCGGGCCCACAGCCCACACCAACGGCCGGGCCCACCCTTGGCCTCCCAAGCTTACGGTACCGTAAGATCCGGGCCGCTGTTAGGGGAAGTGGACGAGATCCGGCCGGAAAGTAAAGAGGAAGAAAAGGAGGTGCAAGGGGGTGAGGGAGGAGGAGGAGGAGGAGGAGGACCCGTCGCCGCCGACGCCGTTGCCCGCTCGAGCCCCGCGGCGGCCGCCGTGTCCCCCGCCGCGCCCCGTCCTCCTGCACCGCCTATGGCAGAGCCCGTAGGCGGTCCCCAGCAACCGCCGAGCAGCATTGACCAACAGACCACGGCTGTATCAAACAGACGGCTGACTTAACCAATAGTTGTGCAAGGGCGGGAATGAGTATGATTGGCGGTTATATTTCTCCAATGACAACTGGGGGCGTGGGTGGGCGGAGCCGGAAGTAGAGCCCATCCGAATGGCCCCTGTCCGGCAGGGGCGGAGGGAAGGGGGAGGGAACTAAAGGAGGAGGAGGTTAGCCGAGGCAGCTACAGCGGCGGCGGCGCAGGGGCTGGTACGCGCTGGGCGGCGAGAGCCTCATGGCGGAGGAAGAGAGCGACCAGGAGGCCGAGCGCCTCGGAGAAGAGCTCGTGGCCATTGTGGAGTCGCCGCCGGGCCCCATAGGGCTTAGAGCTGTGGGCGACGGCAGAGGTGGCGCTGGTGTCGGCAGCAGTGGCGGCGGCGACGGCGTCGGGATCAGCAGTCGGGATTATTGCCGACGCTTCTGTCAGGTGAGGCGCCCGTCGGCCGCCCGGACTTGTCACCCGGGTTCTGGGCCTCTCTGCGTCTCGTGGCCTTCTGGTCCACCAATCTGCGCTATGTTCGGTAATCGCTTCTGCAGTCCAGCAGGAGGGTGAGGGTGACCCCCCCTCCCCCGCCTGTACCTATCAGGCTCTGGGTGGGGGACGGGGAGAAGAGTGACTTGTGGGTTTACGGTTGTTGGGAAAGTGAGAGTTTTGGGGGTGAGAAGAGACTGGGGAGAAGGAGGGTCAGCTGGACGGAAAGCTCTGTTCTGACGTGCCTTCTCTGCCCCAAACAGACCCCTTCCTGCCCAAGGGTCCCGCCTTTCTTGTTTTCTACCCTGTTCCTTCTCACTTCATTGGAACCTCGGGTAACATTTTGTCTTCCCTCTCCGCCCTTTGCCTTCTGTGTACTCCTCTTTTATGGGGTTAGGAAGCATGTCATTTCTCTCTTGCCTCTCCTGTCACCGCCACCCCTCCCCCTCTGTTGGGGGTCTCCCTGTCATCCCTTTTCTAGATCCCGCTGGGTCAGTCATCCAGTTTGTTTTGGCTCTGACCCTCAGTGATTTAGTCCCCCCCCCACCCCCGGGGTGGGGGGCTTTAAGGGAGTATGATTGTCATCGTTCCTTTCCTTACCTCCCTCTCTTGACACACGCACTCTTTACTAATTAACTGCTCATGGAGAAAGTCGTTTTCCTTAAACTATTGCTCTAGTTACATCCCCATCCCCATCCCCATCGTCCTTTAAATTACGGTGTGTTTTGTTTAGCCTATAAAATTCAGTGTCCAAACAGTGACAGTAAATTATTTCCCTTTACTCAATTAGACTGCCATTAGGATTGGATGTAGGTTAGTATTTGACTGTTAAAATAATACATATATAGTACTAACCTACTTGTTCACAAGTTTGGATAATCTGTAGTCTTACCTACATACATTTATTATTTAAATGTTTTGTTCTCATTTAAAATACCGTTATTTTGCAAACTACTTTGCAAAAAATATTCCTTGTTCATCCTACTCCTTTTAAAATTTATATCTTGGATTTACAGGGTTCAAATCCTTGCTCCACCACTTCTTAGCTGTTTTGCCTTGTGTAAGTTTCTTAACCCCTCTGTGCTTCAGTTTCCTCCTATACAATTAGGGATAGTGGTTAAATGAGTAAATATGTAAGGGTTTGGATCAGATAATTTAATCTCTTTCTAGTAACGGGCATGAAATAAAGCTAACAAGTGGACATCATTTTTACTTACATTTGATTTTTATACCCCTCTAAACATTGAAAGAAAAAGGATGAAGTTGGCATATTCAGGTAAGTTTTTAATGCTTGAGTTTAAGTTGTCTTTTTTTTTTTTTTTTTTTGGCCTTTAGTGTAATTGATAATTTGAAGATTGAAATTGTCTTGGTATAAAGGGTGTGTCAAATTTTTTTGGCATTGTTCTGTGTTTAGTGATTTTCTTGAAAATGTATTTTTATTTTGATAATTGACAGTCACTGGATTTAGAAGTTCAGTGTCTTATTTTCAGAGCACTTGTTTTACCTCTAGAAACCATATTAATGGTATACTTTATCAGCAGGAATTTTAAACTTTTGAAAATTAGTGTATAGTTGATGTTGTTAATGTATTCAGGGGCAAAAAAGTTGCTCCAATTTTTTCTGTTTTGCTTTTTATGTCATTAAAAAGCAACTTGACCTTGTGTGCCTGTGTGTGTGTGTGTGTGTGTGTGTGTGTGAAGGCTGAAGATTGAACTTAGGGTTTGAGCTCTACCACTGAGCTACAGCACAGTTTTGCTCATATTATTGTTATTACTTACTTGATCAAATAACCCTTAATTGCTGAAGAATTTGAAACTGTAACAGAGTATTTTGGAGAACTTTTAACTACTCTTATTTTGTTTCTTGAAATCAATTTTAAGAACAAATGAACAAATTTAGCTTGTGAGAAACTGGCAGATCATTGACAGTAAAAATGTTAAGAACAAAGTTGACTATTTTATAAAATTCTACTATCTGCTGAATATCCTAGAAGATAAAACTAAGTGGGAAGAACCTAATGGGCTTTTGTTTGTACTGTTAAATTGTGAATGTTATAATGACATACTTTCATGTTAACAATTTTTATCTGAAATCGAACTACTTATTTTATAATACTCTAGATTACCAATAGAGTCTGTTCTTGAATTTCTGTTTTGGTTCTACCTTGCAGGTGAGTTTTGTGAAGTTATTTTTTTATATTCAGACTGGTAGATGGAATAAAAAGAATCACCTGTATTAAGTTGGATTTTGTCTACTGATTAATAAAGTTCTACTTTAGGACTTCTGTTTTATCAGTATGAAAACTAGATTATATAACCTAATTTCCTAAATTGTTTCTTTTTAAATTTCTACTATTTACTGAGAGTAATATTAAATAATATGTATTCATTAGAAAATGACTTAATCAGGGATAATCTTTAAAATGGATAACATGCACTTGGTAGGTGTCAGTTAACTCAATATATGAAATATACTCACAGCCCCATGGTATTGAGAAGAAAAGCTCCAATTTATCTTTCTCCTTTTAGAGGGAAATATGAATCAAAATGCTTGGCAGTTAGTTTTGTGGGTGAAGGGAGAGAGAAAGGAACATTTCTTTTGAAGATAGGTCCTGTGTCTGTCATCGTAATGAGAATTAAAACAGAAGATATCTGTAACATTGAACTAACTGCCCTATCACATACTTCCTTTTGCCTTTATGAGTAGATTCTAAACAAATGTTTACATAAAATAGGCTCTTAACTAATACTTAATTTGCTTCGATGATGAAAGGTAAGGGAAAGTAACTTTTTTTTAAAGACGTTTAACTCTTAGCCTTTAGTTGAAATTTAGGCCTGAACAAGTTAACTTGTGTAGGTTCCAGGGGCTGGGCAAGATGGGATTTGGACCTAGTCATCAGTATATACTGAAAAGCAGATTAAAATTACAGATAATCTTCAAATAATTATAAAGTGAAAAAAATTATTTTTGGCAAGTTGGTACAAAGGGAAGAAAAAAATGTTCCTGCAAGTACTCAAGGAATCATGGATAAAAAGTTTAAAAAGTATTGTTTCATTATGCCATAATGGGAAAAAGTATTTAAAGAAACAGATCATTATTGTTTCTCTGACTTATTAGGTGCTATGAACATTTCCTGAATTCCTGAAGGTTATAATAATTAAACTTATTTTGTTACCAGATATATTGAAAAATTGTAAACTAAACAAGTTAAGGTACTTTCTTCTTAGGTGGCAGAATGAATACAGTAAATAATAAATATTTCTGGAAACACATTTAAATGTTAATTAATGTGGACCTTAAATTTATTTTGTACTACAGTTGTCTTAATAGGCATCCCATGAGGATGTCATGAGTATAAAATGAGTCAGCGCACATAAAGTGCTTAGTACAATACTTAGTACATAAATAGGCTTAAATAGAAGCTATTAATATTTCTGTCATATGAAATCGACTGAGTTTAAAAGGGGCATTAGAGATAATCTAATATGAAGGTAGTTTATAGTTTGTATCCTACAATACACTTAAGAGAAAATTTAGAAATGTTACAATTCTTAAATTCTGTTCTATTTCTGTTTATAACCAGATGCTCCTGGTGAAACCAATGATTTGCAGAGCAACTACATTTTCTCTGTTAGAAATTTTGCATCTTGGGGGGGTAGGCATTTGATTGGTTGTCTACCTACCTATTTCCCTACCTACCTACCTACCTACCTGTCTATCTTTGGGTATTGGTGGTTGAACCCTGGGGGGGCTTTACCACAGCTACATCCCCAGCCCTTTCTATTTTTTATTTTGAGATAGGGTCTTGCTAAGCTGCTGAGGTTGGCTTTTAACTTGCTATTCTCCTGCCTCAGCCTCCCAAGTTGCTGAGATAGATTACAGATGTGCACCACTACATATGGTGAACCTTGAAATATTTTTAATTGTCATTATTGGCAGCAAGTAAGTAGAGGTCAGAGAATGTCCTATAATGCACAGAAGAGTTCCAACAAATAATAATTTGGTCTAAAATATTAATAATGCTTATGTGGAGAAATTCTGCTATACTTTTATTTTGAGACGCTTAGTGGATATTTTATATGTTTAATGCTCCATGTGGCAAAGGGTAATTAATGATTCTTTAAAAAAATTTTGATGAACTCTTGTAGGCACTGTAACACAGAAAAAATTTTATTATTTCTATAAAATAACTTGTGTGTCTCTTTAGAGGTATTAATTGGGGGGAAAACCTCTTAGTTTTTGTATAGAATTTACATAATACTTCTAGTTTGGAAGTAGTTTCTTAAGTTGTATAATAAGTTTTTACCAATTTTTGCTATTAATTGAAATTATCTTTTAATGTATCTTTAGTTTTATCCATGTACATTATTTAAAAAATACTAGGCCAAATATCAGGACTTGCATTTTTCTGCTAATAAAAATCTGACTTAAGTAGCTTAAACAAGGTAGGCATTTATTTCTTATGTAAAAAGTCTTACATAGTAAGTAGAGGGATGGTATTGTAGTCTTATCATTATTGTATTGTCATTTACACATATCAGTCATCCTTGCCTCCCTAGCCTGAGTTTGTCTCTTGACCCAAAATTGTTGCTAAAATTTAGGCCATCACGTATGACTTCCAAGTGGTAGGAATAGGCATCTCTGTGGGATAAACAAAAAAATCATTTGCCTCAAATCCTACTTATTGACTTTTTCCAGGTTGTTTAACTATCCCCATCTGAAAAGAATGGTGGGAAATTTTTTGTTCAAATTTTTGTGTTTTCCTGATTAGTGCATGTGTTATGATTTTGCTAGTAGGGAAGAAAGAAAATAAGAATAGGAATTATAGATATAACTAACTTTTCATGGTGGGAAGAGTCATAGTGTACAAAAACTAGCAGTCATGCTCTCTTTCCTTCTCTACTTCTTACTTTTCAAAGGCAATCCTTATAATTCTTAGTTCTTTTAGTATTTAC